TTCCTCCAGTTTCCACAAATTTTCCTCACTTACCTTTAAGCCCTCACCAACAGCCTCCTCAAAAGCATCGTTCTTCCACAAATAATTGTTTAAAGGCTCTTTTAGCCTTTACCTCAGAGACCTGCCAGCTTCTATATTTTGCCTGATTCCAAAGCCTTGCCCATATTTTAAGTGTTTGGTAAGGCAGCACCACATTTTCAGGAACCAAAATATGTATTAAATTCTCTATTTGTGTAACAAATCACCACAAATTTTTTAAAAAATTTATTGATTATTATTAGTATTATTTTACATTCAAAGATGTAAAATAATACATAACAGTGGGAGGGGCAGGTGGGGGGGGTAGGGAAACGGAGGTGGAGGTGGAAGGGCCAGCTCCTTTGCTGGCCTGGTTGTGGAGGGCAGGGGGGCATGGCAGAGGCCCTCGGTGCTCCCCACAAACACAAACTTAATGGCTTTAAAGAATAAATGTTTATTGTCTCAGTTTCTGAGGGTTAGGAATCTGGGCCATTCAGTGTTTGTCTTAGGTTGTAGTCAAGATATTAGCTAGTGCTGGTCATCTGGAGGCTTGACTGGTGCTGAAGGATATACTTCTAGGAAGGCTCCCTCACATGACTGTTAACAACAGCCCTTGGTTTCTAACTAGCTGTTGGCAGGAGACCTCACTTTCCTATCACATGGGTTTTTCCACAGGGATACTTGAGTTTCCTCACAACATAGCAGCTGGCTTCCCCTAGAGCATGCATTCTCAATGGGGCAAAATTGTCCCCAGAAGGGTGAAGGGCAAAAAATCTTATATTTTACAATGGTTTATAGCCTTCCAAAGGTCCGTGGTACATAAACAGGCATATAATATATTTGTGGCATTAAAATTTTATTGGGAGAGTTATTAGAGAAAAATGTCTAGAAGGCTCGTTAGGTGGGGAATAATGAAAACAAGGTTGAGAAACACTGTTCTAGAGCAAGTAATCTAAGAGCAAGGAGGAAGCTGTAATGCCTTTTGGCGTTAGAAATAATACAGCTGCCACTTCTGCCTCATTCTTTTTGTTAGGAGTCACTTGAAGGGAGTGTGCAAGAATTGTGGACACATTTTAAATCACCAGTTCATGTAAAGAAGGATAAGGACATTCTAGGCTGAGGAAATAGCAAGGGCAAAGGCCCAGAAGCAGGAAGAATTTGACATGTTTGAGGGACAGAAAGGTGGGCAAAGCATAGTGAGGAGGAGGGAGAGTTGTGTGAGATGAGATTGGAAAGGTTCTATATCATGTAGGGCCTTGTAGGCCCTATAAAAGCTTTTCCATTTTATTCTGAGTGTAAGGAAAACCATTAAAAGTATTTAAGCAGGGAACCAAGGTTTACCCTACCAAAAGATCACTCTGACAGTTTGTGTGGAGAATGGATAGGTAGCACAAGGGTGAAAGCATAGAGACCAATTAGAAGGCTACTCCAATGAGACATCATGATGAGAGGTGACAGATGATGCAGACTTTCACTAGTGAGGTTGTAGAGGAGACTAAAAGAAGTGGATATGTTCTACTTTTTACAATAAAAGCTCAAGTAGCTGATAGACTGGAAAAAGGGAGGGTAATCAAAGATGACTTAACATGTTTTTGGCTTGGAGGATGTTAGTGCTGGTTACTGATGAGAAGACTGGGAGAACAACAAGTTTGGATATAAATGAAGTGTTCTTGTTTTGGCCATGTTAAATTTGAGATGTCAGATAGAAGGGGAGAAATCAGGACTCAAAAAATAATATCAGAAGATGTTGCTGTTGGCAGTTTTCTTTTCAAATCAAATCTTTTATTTTTTTTCCTGTGAGCAGTGTATGCATGTCCTTTGCTACTTTTTAGTTATTCAAAATGAGTGTCAAATGTTGCTTTTGCCTGGGATTTGATTTAAGGTACCATTTGAAAAAAATAGTTTATAATTGAAACATAATAATTATAAACGTTTATGGGGTACAGGGTGATGTTTCAATATATGTATACGTTGTATAATCAAATCAGGGTAGTTAGCGTTTATCATTTATGTAGCATTCATTTATCATTTCTTTGTGGTGTTAATATTCACGATCCTCTTTTCTAGCTATCTTGAAATATGCAATACATTATTATTATCTATAGTCACCTTACTATGTAACAGAGCACCAGGACTTATTCTTACTATCTAACCGTGACTTTGTACCTGTTGAGCAATAAATACCCTCTACCCCACCCCTCCCTAGCCTCTGGTAACCACTATTCCACTCTTCACTTCTATGGGATCAACTTTTTTAGATTCTGCATATGAGTGAGATCATGTGATATTTGCCTTTCTGTGTCTGGCTTATTTCACTTAACGTAATGTTCTCCAGGTTCATCCATGTTGCCACAAATGACAGGATTTCATTCTTTTTCATAGCTAAGTAGTAATGCATTGTGAAAATACCACATTTTCTTTATCCGTTCATCCACTGGTGGATTCTTAGATTGACTCCATCTCTTGGCTATCGTGAATAGTGATGCAGTAAATACAGGGATCCAGATATCTCTTCAACTTATTGATTTCACTTCCTTAGGCTATATATCCAGTAGTGAGATTGCTGGATCATGTGGCAGTTCTACTTTTAATTTTTTGAGGAACCTCCACACCTGTTTTCCATAGTTGCTGTACTAATTTACACTCCACGGTGTGTAAGTTCCCCTTTTTCCACATCCTGGCCAACATTTGTTACTTTTTGTCTTTTTGATAATAGCCATTCTAACTGGGGTGAGGTGATATCTCCTTGTGGTTTTGATTTGCATTTCCCTAATGATTGCTGATATTAAGCATTTTGTCATATATCTAAGGTACTATTTTTAAAGAGTGTAGAAAAAGTTTTGGTCTGGAATATCTACATAAGGATAATTTTTTATGATGAATTTATATGCTTAGCACAAGAATCTTTAAAATGTTTTTCTATTATGAAAGTAATAAATATTTATTGGTATCTGAACAGCACAGATTAGCAGAGAACTGAGCATGAAAATTATCCTTAGTCATATTGCCCAGAAAAAAACATTATTAACATCTTTGTGTATATTATTCCAGTCTTTTATTACATATGCACTTGTGCATGCACACACACGTACACATAAACATTAGCTCTTTCCGTACACACTGTTTGAACTGTAGAACAGTTCTATAAAATGGTAAGGATTAACATTATCTGTCACTGCTTAATTAAGAATGTATATAATATAGATTGGGTTTGAGTTACATGAGGTTCATAATAGGGCATCAAAAGTAAAGGATATGATTTTCTTTGTAGTCCAGAAAATCCCTTGGGGGAATGATGATTTGACCCTTGGTTTAATAATGAAATTTGCAGAAAGGTAGCACAAATACCATTATCCGTGGGTGTAATATATTCTTTTTTTTTTATGAGAAAGGTGGAAATGACCGCCCAAAGCATGCAGACATTAGGGCCTTTTTAAGAAAGTAAGTTGTAGGTCTGTCATGGGGATGAGCACTTTATCTCTAGGCTAAAATACAGCTGATACTCCTGTTACTATGAGTCACTGTTTAAATTATATGTTCGGTAAAATCTGTTTAAGACATTAGGAAAAGCTCATTCTATACTTTAGAGGGAAAGATTGATTAAGATTTAATATTTGGGCATTTCGAGGATTAAATCTTTAGTATTCACGAAAATTCTCATATTCTTATAAAAGATTTTGATTTATTACTTGATATGTGGCTGACATGCTTTCAGAGCACTTCATCTTTCATTGGGAAGCCAGGTCTTTAGTAAAAATTTTTTCAAAAGGACCATCTACCACATGAGCATGGTCAAAATAGGCAAGAGACAACATCACATTTTTTTTTATAGTAAAAGTCATTCAACATGGTTTTTTTTTGCCTGCCTAAGCACAGTGCTCTAAGTGGCTCCATTATTCTGTTTCAGAATAATACTTTTTCTCTTCTCTGACTAGCAAAATTCACGCTTCATTAATTCAATATAAATTTATTTAGAAGCAACTAAAATTTAATGATTGTTTATTCTGTGGTATCCACTAGGCTGGGTGCTAGGCATATGGAAATAAATAAGATTTGCTCCCTATTATTAGGGAGCTTTTAGCCTTGATAGTCTAATGGGGGTGAAGGGTGAATAGACTTATCAATTATAAAGTGATTTAGGGTTATGTTTAGGGTTCCTTGAGAATGTGAAGGAGGAACATTAATTCACACAGGGGGACTGAGAAAGGCTGAATCTTGAAGGATGATTAGTAGTTAGCTCAGGATGTGAGGGGAGAGGGTATTAGTGTGTATATGAGAGAAGGTGAGAACTGTTAATGTTGTAATTCTAAAGGTGGTAGTGAGTTCTTGGGGGTTCATTGTATTTATATCATCTATATATCAGAAGATTTTAATAATAAGTATTTTTTAATCATTAGGCCTCGGGGTTGATTTATGGATGTCAATAATAAAATATTCTGAAAGTTAGAATTTCCTATTGTATAGAAACTAGAAGCAGAGGTACTATAAATGAGAAATAAAATATGGGTTTATATATAATTTGCCTTTTAAGGAGAATTTTCATTTTAGGGAAACAGTTTTACTGCTGTGGAAATTAAGGCTTTTAAAAAAATTTTATGTCTAACTATATGTTTTCTATTTCTGCTTTTCAGATTCAAGATAGAATCATTACTTAAAAATGTTGTTTTTGATCTTTTGCTTTGTTTATGCTGCTGTGTATTAAATAGGCATTTAATACTTTCTTTTTATTTTGATGAAAAGATTTAGATTCTGGCTCATTAGCTTAATTTTTTTAAAGCTCATGCTTTTTGGAGGATTAGATATTTCACAATTTTTTAGTTACTTTGAAGCTTTTTCTTCTAGTTTTAGTTACAGATTACATTACTTGGATTAAGATTTAAGAAAGAATGCTTGTAAAGACTTAATTTTTCTAAGGAGAAATTTGACTTTGCTGTCCTATAAATGCTTAAGAAAATAGTCATATGTAATTTTTTTTCTTCTAGCCTTTCTAAGAAAAGTCTACAGCATCCTTTTTCTGCAAGTTCTCTTAACTACAGTGACTGCTGCAGTTTTTTTATGCTTTGAGTCTATTCGGACATTTGTACATGAAAGGTAAAGTAATGAGATGATTCTGAATCATTCTCAGACATTGCATATGATCAAAAGAGCATATTATTATAAACTAAGTTCATTTTTTTCTATTAACTTTTGAGGTTAAAGTGTGAAAAAGGTTTATTATCTAACTCATAAGTCAGATTAGTTTTGTTTTTGATGAAGGAAAATGTGCCACAACATGATATTTACCTCTGAGCTTTTCAGCTTACAGATTAAACCCTCATATCCTATAATAGTATTAAGAATTTTAACTGCATACAGTTTTTTTAAAGTCTTCATTTATTTTATTTTATTATACTATATACCCTATCACCAAAGCATGACAGTGCTTGAAAAGTAAGACTACTTAATAAATATGCTCATTTTAGTTTTGGTTCATGACTAGGATAATTTCACTCCAAGTTTTCAAAAGAGCTTCACTTGATTTATCCCTAATTAGAGATTTGACCTCCCACATGATTATTTCCTTAGTTAAAAGTAATACAGTTTCTTTATGTTAAAGGAAAGGAAAAATGTTGAATATTTTTATAGAAGTAGAGAATTTCTATGCTCCTTCTCCTTACCAAAGTGGAGTCTTGAACTATTAGTTTTCTATTTGGGGTAAAATTCTTTAATTTAAATTATGGCCATATGGTAAATACTGTAAAAAATAGGTATGAGATTTGTTTATTATTTAATTTATTTATTGTATTTTAGTTACAAGTGTAGTATACTAATTATAGACATTATTCAACTATGATAGAAGTTCATAAACTAAAAAGGAAAAGTCTTTCCCCATTCATTTTGGACTCTTTTCTGTCCTGCTGCTCCTCCCCAACACCCCTAAAATTTTCCAGATGTAAAGTAATTTCTTTTGATAGTTTGGTGTGGATCATTCCAGATTTTTTTTCCTAAATACACAAAATAGACAGATAATTTTATTAAATTGGGTAGTATTATTTAAGCTGTTTACTATTTTTTTTTTTAACTTGAAACACTTTTAATATTATGTCTTTCAGTCCTGCCTTAATTTTGGTGTTTGCCGTTGGATCATTGGGTTTGATTTTTGCATTGACTTTAAACAGACATAAGCATCCCCTTAATTTGTACCTGCTTTTTGGATTTGTGAGTACTTTGACAGTGTCTATTCCTTTAACATTTATTTCTAAGTTTTAAATATACTTATTTAATTGAACAAGTATACACATATAACAGTGGCAGAACAAAATTAATGAATTTTTAAATATTAGAATATTTTAGGAAATTACTTGTAACTCTGTAGTCTTTTAGAATTTTTAACTGTCAGTTTTAACAGATTTTCTACTAATATTAGAATGTAGTGGAAAAAATACTAGATTGGAATCAGGGGATCTGGCTTTGCCACTATCTGGGTATGTGACATTTGGAAAAGGCATTTAGCCTTTCTGTACATAGTTTTCTCATACGTAAAATAAAAATATTAAAATAGATAATCCCCGTGATACTTTCTACCTTTAGTATTCTTGATTTTCTTGGGAAAAAATTATATTGTAGCCTTAACTTCATAGAATTAAATCAAATTCTTTATGATTAACTCTGCAGTGTTATTTTTATGTTATCACTGTTCTTTCAAAGGAATATTTTGCTCAAATGATGTGCTTTACTAACTTGTTTCAAAATTATGGTTGGGAGAACCCAACTTTAAATCATGTTGATGAAAATTAAAACCAAAACTACTACCTATAAAAACTCAGAATATGACCAGAATGAGTTGGTAAGGCTCAAATTATGTATTTTTAAAATTATTTGCCTCTTCTCATATCCAGTATGTCTTTGGGTTCTGATTTAATAATGTACTTCAAAACATCTAAACTAATATTAAGAATATTTGTGATCAAATAAGAGTGAAAGAGCTATTGATCATATTAAAATACTTTAAACTGAAGATAAGTTTATGAATTCTGATAATGAGTTTGTGTTAATGTGAGGAAAGAAAAGCTCATGACTTTGGAAGTTTTATTTATAGGAAAGATTATTCACTTAAATCTTAAGCTCTTTTGTTTGCAGGGTTATCACCGCTAACCCAGGTTATGTTAGGTAACAAGGAGTTTATTTTAAGAATGACAGAGCTTGGGAATCCACCAACCCAAACCTACCAGGCCACAAGAAGAGGAACTAGAGGAAGGTTATAGAAATGATTCTATTATACAAAATTCAGTGGCTAGAATTTGTGGTCTTCTTCTCTCCCTTGTTCCATTACTTCTTGTCTCTACCTCACAACTGTCCTTACACATTGTTTTCTCTTTTCTTTAATTTTTATATGACCCATTGTTGGCCCCCATATAGTTCATTTACCTTTTAGCTTTAGCTCCTCCTGCCATTGCTTCATATTCAGAGTTCAGATTCCTGAATGATAAAGAATCTGATTGTCACAGCTAATTGTTGGCACAGGTCACATTGCAGATTGTTAGCCAATATTTGGGTTGCCAGTCCTTGGGTCAGATGCCAGCTTCTGGCTCGGTCAGCTGTATCCCAGGAGGGAGGGAAAGAGGAAGTATGAAAAGAAACGGGGTTATGTAGAACTCCTCTTCAAATCTACAGATAGCCTCCTTTCAGAAAGACTGTGATTTCTATGTGGGAAGAGCGTATAGGCCAACTTTTGCCCAGTGGAATAGGCTCCACTAGAAAAACATCAGCCAAATGCTTATAGGCAAGATGGTTACTTATTGCTAAATCTATTCATCGTGCTCATAGCTAAAAGTGTTTTAACAAATAGAGAGTATGTAAAATACATTTCCTCATCTTACTCAGAGACTTTTGACGCTTGGTTTTTTGGTCCTTTTCCACCAAAATAAGAAAGGAGGTGTATTACTTTGCTTTAGTAGGGGTGTGTGTATCTGTGTATGTATACATTTTCAAGGGGACATTATTTTGGGGTGGCATTATATTTTCCTAGACTTATCTTTCTCTCATTTATACTGTCTTGTTTCCTTCAGATACTTATGTGTTGGGTAGGATTTCTTTCTCAAAATCATGTCACAAATATCAAGAATGTAGTATAATCATGTTGCCCAGAAAAAATACCTCTATCATCTTTTGCTGTCACTTCCCTGGCAATATGAACAGTATTAAAACTTGGCAGCAGCTTCATTGCCTTCACATCTATGTACAATTTTTAATACCATCTTTGCTCTTCTGATGATTTCTTGATATCAGGTAGGGTGAGGTACAGGGAATGCTTCTTCTAGGAGTATGAGTGTACAGCTACTGCTGTTACTTCTGGCTTTGCCTTTATGATATGGTCTGTCAGACGGTTGATAAACTCTAACTAGAGTAAGCATGTAAGACAAAATAAAAATAATGTAATTAAGGGGAAAGAGAGGTTAGAGGAAAAGGCTTAATATCCCCAAATCTTTTATTTAGGATATGGGTTCAGCTACTTGTGACGTGGCTTAAACAATGACAAAATAACAATGGCTTAAACAAGATAGTTTATTTCCCTTGCATGTAAAAATCTGAATGACTATTTAGTGAAGTTGTCAAGGGCTCAGGCTCCTGCTATGGTTCAAGCATTCCTAAACTGTTGTATGGTATAAGGTAGTTCTCCATTATATCCACATAGCATCCAGTTACAAAAAAAAGAGGAGAAAGGGAAGAGCAAGCCTTTTGCTATTAGAGCACAATCTGTAAATTGTACACTTCCTTACTCACATTAAATTGGCTAGAATATAGTCATATAGCCAGACCTACCTGCAAGGGAGACTGAAAAATGTAATGTTTAATCTGAACAGCCATGTGTCCATGTAAAACTTCTATTACTAGGGGAGAAGGAGAGAATGAATATTGAGAGACAGTTTCAAGACTCCGCCACACCAAAGTGCATACTACCTAAATATTTTATTCTTCCTATGTTTGTTTGTGTGATATTTTGAGGTATTTAGAAATGTGCACATGAAGGGTCGGCCCGTGGCTCACTTGGGAGAGTGTGGTGCTGATAACACCAAGGCCATGGGTTTGGATCCCCTTACCGGTCATCAAAAAAAAAAAAAAAAAAAAAAAAAAAAAAAAAAAATGGCCAAATGCTTTCAATTTTTTTTTTTTTTTTTTTTTGGCAACTAGCAGGTATAGGGACCAGAACCTGTGACCCTGGTGTTATAAGGCTGTGTTCTAACCAACTGAGCTAACCAGCTAGCCTGCAATTTCATTTTTATTTATATTACAGAGAGTGAGAAAAATAGAATTTTTTGTATTATTACTATAATCTTCCTGTTACAGACATAAAAAGTCTGATTAGAGCTTAAAGAGTGATGGAATCATAATTTGAATGTAAATATTCTCACTCAATATATTGAGGTCTTATTTGCATTATGATGGGCTAAATAACTGTACCATATACTTCACTGGACTATTCTGAAGCTAAAATGAGATCATATGGGATCCCATTGAACTGCTAGAAATTAGAAAATGTACATGAGATACTATAAATTTTACAAGCATTAATTAATTTCAGTTTATTTTTCCTTAGACACTGTTGGAATCTCTAACTGTGGCCGTTGTTGGTAAGCCATGATTGTGCTTCTATATGTTACAAAACTTTTTAATGTAGACAACTTTGGGGGATAAAGGGGCTAAAGTTTAAAGCACAGAATGTCGTATTTCAAAAATGTGGCATAGGATGAAGAATTCCTAAAATATAAGCAAAAGTCAAATCGTTATACTTTACATAGTTCAGCTGAGCTTAGAGGAAGTAGAAAAATTTAAGGAAACCAAGAGGAATGGACAGCATTTCATTTGTATTTATCCATTTATATCAATAAGACAACCATAACTACTTTTTTCTCTAATTTAAAGGGATCTTAGAACTGAAAACATGTGTTTTGAGCCATGCACTTTGACCAAATGGGCTTAGCTCCTCTAAGAATTGCCTGCATTGGACTGTGCTTTAATGTTATATCCTCATATTTTACCAAATGGTACTACAAGAAACAGTGGTAATTGTTTATGTATTCCCTGTTAAATATGTGTTTGAAGGCCAAATATGTTATAACTACTTTGATGTATCCTATGTAATGCCTCAAGTAAAAACTTTCAATAAGTTAACAAAAATTCTGATTGTTTCAAAATGGTTAACCTTGGGGACTAAACAGCTCAGAATTAACTATTAATAACAGCAGGTTGTTAATCCTTATGTTTAATATTGTTATCGCTTCCTATTTCATCATTACTGTTTTTAAACTTTCTACGTCAGCTTTGTTGAATCTATATTTTTTGGTAATCTATCTCTACTTCTAAAAGAATCAGCATGTAAATAAATAGTAATACATACTAAAATAAATAAGATTTTGAAACTTTTCAACATAGAAAGGAAGTATTATTAATATTTACTTATTATTAGTGTTATTATCTATTAATGTTACTTACTATCACTGTTATCAAGTCCATCTGTTTCTCTCCAGTCCCTCCTTATATAAGGAACATAGGAGAGAGGTTTATATCAGGAGTTTGGAATTGAGGGTAGAAATACATAGATGAGAACATTATTTTCCTCATTAACTGTAATATCTTTTCCACCGAATCATGTGCTGAAATTACTGACAAGAAACAAAATTGACTTCGTGTTTTGTCTTTTCTGTGTTCACCTTTCTAATCCTATAATGGCTTAAAGAAATTCCAATCATGTAACATTTAGGAATGGAAATAACTTGGATAATTAATCTCTGAAAAAATTAAAAATTACTTAAATGGTTCTGGGTTCAAAGTACTTAACCTCCTTTAAAGAGGTTGTAATTTAGCATTCTGTTAAAATGTTAAGTAGTTATATTATACTAGTGATAGTCAATCTGGATGATCATTCTAAAACAGAAGAGAATTTGGTACATACTCAGTAAACCACACAATAATGTGCTCCAAGATAATGCAGATTTGGATATAAAGCAATTAGTAGTGGGTTTCTGTCCTATGCAGAGTAGGTAAATGGCAGGCAACCCCAGATAGCCGCATTATTTTTCTTGCCCAGTAGCTTGAATTGCACTAATGACCTGGGTCCAATTAATGAGGTGATTGCTAGAATTGCTGCTACTGTCCTGAAATTATTCACTGCCAGCCAGAGGACCTGGAATCATCCCTATTGATATTTAAGCTATAATAAACAATCACCACACATGGTGATAAACTGCAGCTGGGACGGAGATGGGTAAGAATCACTCTAGGGCCGGCCCGGTGGCGCACTGCTACAGTGCGCCGCTTGGGAGCGCAGTAGCGCTCCCGCTGAGGGTTCGGATCCCACATGCAGACCAGCCGCTCACTGGCTGAGCGAGGTGCGGGCGCAACACCGAGGGTTGCAATCCCGTGGCCGGTCCCGGTCCGGTACGGGCGCGACACTGAGGGTTGCGATCCGTTGCTGGTCACGAGAAAAGACAAAAAGGAAAAAAAAAAAGAATCACTCCATAATATTCCTAAAACTCCTAGCTGGCTACCTGTGTAATATCTCTCTAATCATTTTATTAACTTCATAATAATGTGACCCTGTTATTTTCTATGAATGAATATTTTGGAAACTATTTATTGCATTGTGGATGTGGTTTTACTATGCTGATATATTCACAGCTGGATAAGGAATCTTTTTATAATTGTTTTTATTGGTGTTTTTACTACTGTACAGGAGAAAATAAAACATTTCTATTAAATGCCAGTTAAAGCTGTTTTATATTGAGTATGTTTATACATATTTTAATGTTTTGATTTTACAGTTACCTTCTATGATGTATATATTATTCTGCAAGCTTTTATACTGACTACTGCAGTATTTCTTGGTTTGACTGTTTATACTCTACAATCTAAGAGAGATTTCAGCAAATTTGGAGCAGGGTAAGTTATATATTCTTGGATAGAATAGATAAGATAGATGGCTTTGAAAGAAGTGATATACCATTAGTTTTGGGTACTGCCTTTTAAAATGGAGGGTAGTAAGAGGTCTTCTCTCTGGATATTAGGGCCAAGAGCATACACAGAGATAGAAAGTGGCTTTAAGTCATTTGCTTCCCTTCTATAGTAAAAAGGAAGTGTATGCTAAAAAGAATCAGTTTTCCAGAGAGGCTAGGCTTGTATGCCTCATGAATAGTGTGGAATTTACTAAAATTATTTTAGTTTTTGTCTTAGCATAAATGTTACCAAGATCATCCATATCTTTATGGCAAGAGCAATGTAATTGGCTCAGATGTTGGAAATGTCTGCATGAATTTTAAAACCTTTTTGATCCATGTAGATTAACCTGTATCCTTTTTCAAACAAATAAATTTTATATTAGGAAAATGGTACTGTGTTGCCCTCATCTGGTAAGAATGCATAAACTCTTTTCTAAGCTCACAATGGCTTCCTGTTGGCACACTGTCATGCAATCATTTTCTGTTCTTTTTCCTGTTACAACACTAAATACTGACAAAAGTCTACCCTTGCGAAACTTTTCTTTTATCTCCCCTTTCTTTTCTGGTAATCCAGATTACCAGAAATCACTATTAGAATAAAATATAGTTGGTCAACCAACACTGACAACTGTGCAAGCTGCTTAAATAGTTTTATCAGAATGGTGTCTGATTTGGAGAGGCAACATTTTCATTTCCTTTTTTGGGGAGATGTTTCATACATATTTGTGTGGTATTCTGTATATGATGAAAGGTTTGCTCTGCTGCTTCTTCCTATCCCGGTCTCTAACTGCTCCCCTTCCTCTCATCCATTCTGGTATTGTGTCTCAAACTCCTGTTGTGGTAAACAGTTTCCCTGATAGTTTAGCCTCTTCATCATAAATTTACATTTATTGATACAGCTGATATTATAATTATATGTAGATCTCAGACCAAGTATATCTTTTTCTGTGTCTGCTGTTTCTGATAATTCTTATGATATTTTATTTCCTTGTGTATTTGTTTATTTTTCACTGTGTATTTGTCCTTGAAAAATTATTTGTTGAATTTCTTGACACATAGGTTAAAGGTGCATTCTTCCATAGGGTATTTGGGTTTGCTGCTGCCTGGCTTCTGGGCGTATTATTAGACTGGGTCTACTTGAAACTAAATGCATGGCTTAAGATATTTTCCCAACCATTAGGTGTTACAAATTTGGACTACAAATCTGCAAAGAAATAACTTGTGGTGACAATTTCTCAGGGATGTTTCCCCCCCCTTACCCTTGCTTAGTCATTGTTAACTTTCCTTGTAATCCCTGGGTGGGGGTAGAGAGGTGTTATATGATTTGCCTTATCATTAAGGTTGTATAGTGCTGCTGTGGATTGATTGAATTGTGTCCCCCAAAGTTCATATATTAGAAGCTTAATCCCCACTGTAGTGAGGGTGGGAAATCTTATTATTGTAATTGAAAGGTGGGGCCTTGAAGAGGTGATTAGATTGTAGGACCATGCTGTAGAGAATGGATTAATAGTGGTGGTCAGGGGCATGGTTCTGCGGGCTTTAAAAGGAGAGCATGTTGATTTCTCTCTCTGCTCCACCATTTCCTGCCATGTGAGACCCCTGCATTGCTATAAAGCTACCACCAAGGAAAACCCTCACCAAACATGTTCCCTGGACTTTGAACTTCTCAGCCTCCAAAATTGTAAGCAATAAATTTTGTTTTCTTACAAATCACCCAGTTCCAGGTATTTTGTTATAAGGAACAGAAATGGACTGATACAGAAAATTGGTACCAGAGAAGTGGGGTCTTGCTTATAACAAATACTTGAAAATGTGGAAATGGCTTTGGAACTGGGTGTTGAGGAGAGGCTAGAAGAATTTGGAGGAGCAGGCTAAAAAAAAGCCTAGATGCTGGTGGGAATGTAGAAGACAAGAAAACCAGGGAATTTTTGGAAATTTTTAGAGACTGGTTAAATGGTGGTGAGCAGAATGCTGATAGAAATTTGGACAGTAAGAGATCTCAGAGGGAGCTTTTTGGAATCTTAGGCAAAGATCACCCTGCTATGAACTGGCAAGGAACTTGGCTGCATTGTGTCCATGCCCTAGGACTTTGTGGAAGTTGGAACTTAAGAGTTGTGAACCAGCGTATTTGGTGGAAGAAATTTCTAAGCCACACATTCAGGAAGCTGCATGGCTGCTTGTAACAGCCTACTATGAGTTGTGGTAAAGGCATGACGTAAAGCCAGAATTAAAGGAAAACTGAGTGTAAAGATTTGGAAAATTTGCAGCCTGGCCATGTGGTAGAGAAGCAGCATTTTCAGGAGAAAAATACAATGGTGCTAAAGAAGAATAGCACAAAAGAGAGGTATTATCAAGATAAGGGGAAAAAGGCCCAGCAGGCATTGTAGAATCCTCTGGGGCCAGCTTTTCCATTACTGGCCCAGAGGCCTAGAGAGATGGAATGGCCTTGGGGAACAGGCCCGAGGTGCCTTCCACAGGATTGCTGTCCAGTGCCACCTCAGGAAGCTGCTTCCAGCACCAGCACCCCAGCTACTTTGGCTACTCCAGCTGTGGCTAAATTGACCCCAGGTATAGCTGGACCTGCAGCTTTGGAAGATACAAGCTGGAAGCCTTAGTGGCATCCATGTGGTGTTAGGTTTTCACACTCACAGAATGCCAGAGCTGTGAAGGCTTGGGAACCTCTACCCCGATTTCAAAGGAGGTATGGAAAAGCCTGGGGGCCCAGGAAGAAATCTGTCACAGGGGCAGAGTCACTGCCTAGAGCCTTTACTAGAGAAATGCCGAGCAGAAATGTGGGGTCAGAGTTGTAGCAGAAAATCTCCACCAAGGCCATGCCTAATGGAGCCATGAGAGTGGGACCGCCGTGGAGACCCCAGAATTGTGGAGCTACCAGTGTACAACGCCAGACTGTGAGAGCTGAAGCCTGGCCTCAGACCAGGAAAGCTGTAAAAGTGGAGGTGCCTGAGGACTTGGGGACCTAATCCCCACACCAGCATGGCAGAGGACCTCAAACATGGAGTCAAGGTTCATGATTGCCAGCTTTAAGATTCAGCGCATGCCTTGCTGGGTTTCAGACTTGTTTGAGACTTATTACTCCATTCTTTTGGCCTATTTCTCCCTTTTTGAATGGGAATATGTACTGTATGCTTGTCCCACCATTGTATCTTGGAAGTAGATAACTTGTTTTGATTTCACAGATGTGACTTTGAGTCTTCGGTTTTTTGAGTTGAAACAGGTTAAGACTATGTGGATGAAATGAATGTATTTTTATTTGAAAAGAACATGAGTTTTGGGGGGTCAGGGGTGGAGTATTATGGATTGAATTGTGTCCCTCCAAAAGTTAAATGTGTTGGAGGCTTGGTCCCCACTGTGACAGTGTTAAGAGGGTGGGAAGTCCTATTATGGTAATTGAAAGGTGTGGCCTTGAAGAGGTGAGTAGATTGTAGGACCATGACATAGTGAATGGATTAATAATGGTGGTCAGGGGTGTGGTTCTGAGGGCTTTAAAAGGAGAGCATGTGAGAGTTTTTCTCTCTCCTTCATTTTCTGCCATGTGAGACCCCCCTGCATTACTATAAAGTCACAACCAAAGAAGACTCTCACTAAACTTGTTCCCTGGACTTTGGACTTCCCAGCCTCTGAAACTGTAAGCAATAGATTTCAGGTTTTTTTTTTTTTTTTTTTTAACAAATCACCCAGTTTCAGGTATTTATGTTAGAAGCAACAGAAACGACTAATTCATATAGCTTTGGGCAAATCCAGCTATAGTACCACGATTACTACTTTGGATTTTCACTTTTATCTAGATTTTGGCTTGATAGTTGTTTTCTTCTATCTTGTCACTTATTTGATGCTTTTAAGAAGTTATTCTTTGTTTTCTTTTTAATCCATCATTTTATTAGTTTTTAGGGGTGAAGGTGGGGGTGGTAATTGATCTGAATAGCCTTGTTTGCTGTAATACTAGAAGCAGAAGCCTTTCAAAATTGTCTCTTATCTGTATTATTACAACCGTCCTCTGTATCTCTAGTTTTTAGTCTGTTCTCAACAAAGCAACAAGTCTGTATTTCTAAAATGCAAACTTTATCATGGCATACCTATTTAAACTCTTCAACACTTCACTACTGTTATTGGGAAACAGTCCAGTTCTCCACTGAATTGCACTTACTGCCATCAGTTACTGGATATTGCCATGTAATGGTTCTCTAGCGATACCATAATAATAATTATATTTTGGTCAGTATGCCATAGATTTAGACACTTACAAGTGGCATTTTAAACAAAACTCAATGTCACTAATTATTGTGAAGCCTGAAAGCCAAAATGGTATGGACACTAAGTGCCAAACTGGGATGCAAAGACAGAGCAAAAAGATTTTCTGCAAAAAGGTTTGTAGGTTAGGGACAGCCGTAGCTCATTTGGGAGAGTGTGGTGCTGATAACACCAAGGCCATGGGTTTGGACCCCTACATAGGGATGGCCGGTTAGCTCACTTGGGAGAGCGTGGTGCTGACAACACCAAGTCAAGGGTTAAGATCCCCTTACCGGTCATCTTTTATTTAAAAAAAAAAACGATTTATAGACTATTCATTCTGACTTGTTTATGGAATACGGTAGGGACTCAAGAAACATTTGTTAAATTTATGAATGTACAGTAGTAGCAGGTAGTAGTAGCAGTGCTTCATATATTGGCTTATAGCTGTAATATTTTTTGCAACATCATTATTATCCTATAGTGATTTTGCAACAAAAGGAATTAAATCTCAACTACGTGTGATAACTATGGCAACTTGTAATGGTGTGTTAGAGCCAGCTTGTACCAACTTGAAAGAGGAGTCTTAAAAGTCAGTTTTTAAATTCTTGGAAGCTTAAAATAGGCCATAGTGGAAGTATTTACACCACAGAAATTAGGAAGGGCTACAAATCAGGGCTTATTGTTGTGTCCCCCCCCCCCCCCCCGGGTTTTTTTTTTTTTTGGCCCCCCCCCCCCCCCCAAGAGCCAGTTTACTGTTTGTAGAATCTTATTCTGTGCTTTTTGTTGAGGGAAAAGAGGATAGAATTTATTTTGGTCAGTCCTGTAGGTGGAGGAGTCAGAATGCAAAGTCAGCCATGGCATTTCTCATCTAATCTTATTTATATTCTCAGAAGTTTGCTCTCCTCTGTTTAAATATTTAATGAGATGTAAGTCAAAGTGTAGTGCTAGTGAAGTAACAACTTAGGAAAAATATCTGCAGGACATGACTTTCAGATCTTTACCTATTAATATATTAATAGAGAATATTGTCATAAACCGAAAACTCAGGCTCAAGTTCTTACCGGAGACTTACCAAATGGAGCCAATGAACCTAAATAACCCTTTTATTGTATGCATACCTGGGGGAGGGCATGCTGCTTAACCAGGGAGCCTAAGCTTGCCAGATTTCAACTTGGATGTTGTAATAGAGAAAAGATGTATATTTTAATGTTTATCGTCCATAGTGCCTGACCAGGCTTAAATGGTGAATCTTTATATGTCCAGTTATAGTAAATAATAGAGTAAATTAATGTCCAGAGACCGCTGGCAGCCCTATTCTAATATCTTGACAGAAGCCAATAAGAACTGTCTGACCACCTTTTGGGAGACAATTTCTCATGTATCTCTTGTTTCTGAATGTTTGGTGAATGCTGTACTAATTGCCTTTTGTTCCAGACCATCTTTTCAAGGTTGTTTTTATAGTGAACAACCTCAGAAGATAGAGATAGTGCTTCCCTCTGCAGCAAAGGGCAAGCATGCTTACTCTTAACTGTAAAAAGATTCAGTTCCCTAAATTCAAGATTCTTCTCGTTTCACAACCCACTGTATGTGTAGGTGTTATCTGGCCCTCTTAGCATCACCCTGTATGAACTGGGCTCTAGTATAAAAATGCTGATACTCTGGATACTGCTATTGCTGTAATAACCTATCCTTTGTCTCAGAACTAGGAGTCTCATGGCCTCTCCTAGCATCCATGAAACTGTGCCAGGCTAACTTATTAGCCTGCAAGTATGGTAAAATCCCAGATGCTTTGCAGTTACTAATACCACCGTCCCCATACCCCTTGGTGCAGAAGCTTTAGAGTTTCCCTAGGGTTTAATAATGAAAAATCAAATCCCAACTCCCTTTCAATCTTGAAGGATCTATATTGTGAAGTGGCATGATAGTTCATTCTAGCTTAGATATGCCACATGTATCCTGGGAAATTTTGTGAACATTTGAGAGAGACAACTGAGAGCTGGAGTCTCACCATGCCCTCTATTCACCAAATAGCATTGTAATTCTATAAATGAGGGTACTTCAAAAAGTTTGTGGAAGAATTATAAGATAATATGAATCTTTCCATGAACTTTTTGAAGACCCCTTGCATATATTTTTTTATTTAATCATGTTATTGTTAGAGAACATATTTTGTATGATTTTAGTCCTTTTGCATTTATTGAAATTTATTTTATATCTTGGTAAATGTTCTTTGTGCATTAGAGAGAATGTGTATTTTGCTGCTGTTGGATGGAGTATGGAGTAGTTGATAAATGTCAATTAGGTTGGGCCAGCCCGTGGCTCACTTGGGAGAGTGTGGTGCTGATAACACCGAGGCCACGGGTTTGGATCCCTATACAGGGATGGCCGGTTAGCTCACTTGGGAGAGCGTGGTGCTAACAACACCAAGACAAGGGTTAAGATCCCCTTACCGTTCATCCTTAAAAAAAAAAGTCAATTAGGTCAAGTTGGTTTATAGCATTGTTCAAGTATTCTGTATCCTTACTAATTTTCTGCCTACTTGTGTGAGAGGGGTGTTGAAATGCCCAACTACAAATATAGTTGGTCCATTTCTCCTGTAAGTTCTGTAAGTTTTGCATCATGTTATTTGAAGCTCTGTTTTTAGATACAAAAGCATATAGGATTGTTATGTCCTCTGGGTGAATTGACCCCTTTATCATGAAACGACATCTTTTATCTCTGGTAGTATCCTTGCCCTAAAATCTACTTTGTTTTTAATACAGCCACTGAGCTTTCTTTTGATTATGTTAGCATGGTATATTTTTCCATCTTTTTATTTTTAGCTTATTATTTGTCTTTATATTTAAAATAGTTTTCTTATAGGAAGCATATAGTTGGATCTTTTTTAAAAAAAATCCATTCTGACCATCTCTGCTTTTAATTGGTATGTTTAGACCATTTGTATTTAATGTGATTACTGATATGGTGGTTTATCTCTTTTATTGGCTAATTAGCTATAGCTCTTTAAAATAGAAGTTGCTGTATGTTTTATCATATATGGCTTTAAATTATCACAGTCTACCTTCCAGTAATATACCATTTCATGTATAGTATACTTATATTTCCTCTTCCCTACCTTTGTGCTATTTTTGCCATAACTTCAGTAGTGCATGTTATAAACCCCACAATACATTATTATTTTTGCTCTAAAAATTAAATTCTTCTGGGCCGGCCTGGTGGCGCACTGCTACAGTGTGCCGCTTGGGAGTGCGGTGGCACTCCCGCCGAGGGTTCGGATCCCACATACAGACCGGTTCCCGCTCACTGGCTGAGCGAGGTGTGGGAGCAACACCGAGGGTTGCGATCCCGTTGCCGGTCCTGGTCCAGTACGGGCGCGACACTGAGGGTTGCGATCCATTGCCGGACACGAAAAAAGACAAAAAGGAAAAAAAAAATTAAATTCTTCTAAAAGGATTTTAAAAATAGATGTCTTATATGTCAAGCAATATATTTACCATTTCTGCTGTTCTTCATTTCTTTATGTAGATCTAAATTTTGATCTAATATCATTCGCCTAAAGGACCTCTTTTTCGCATTTCTTACAGTGCTGGTCTGTTGGTCTCAGCTTTTGAATGTCTGAATTTTTTTTTTAGCTGAAGAATATTGAATTTAAAAAAATTTTTTAGGGCCGGTCCGGTGGCACACTGCTACAGTGCACTGCTTGGGAGCGCAGCGGTGCTCCCGCTGAGGGTTCGGATCCCACATACAGACCGGCCGCTCACTGGCTGAGCGAGGTGCGGGCGCAACACCGAGGGTTGCAATCCCGTTGCCGGTCCCGGTCCCGGTACGGGCACAACACTGAGGGTTGCGATCCGTTGCCGGTCACGAAAAAAGACAAAAAAAAAAAAGGAAAAAAAAAAATTTTTTTTTTAAATTATTTTTTCATTGTATATGTTTATGAAGTACAGTTTACTGTTTCAGTACATGCATGTATTGTATAATGATCTAATCAGAATAGTTAGCATATCTGTCACCTAAACATGTATCACTTCTCTGTGGTTATAACATTCAAGATCCTGTTTTCTGGCTATCTTGAAATATACAATACAATATTATTAGCAATTGTCACTCTAGGGCACCAGAACTTATTCCTTCTATCATCTAACTGTAGCTATGTAATTTTGTACCTGTCTATCAACTGTTTCCTGGTCCTTCCTCCCCGCTCCCTTTGGTAACCACTATTCTACTGGTAACCACTATTCTACTCTCTAATTTCTGTCTTTTTAATTGATTTTTCTTAATTGACCCATGATTATTATATACATTCATGGAATACAATATGATATTTGGGTATATTCATACTGTGTGCAGTGATCATATCAGGATGCTATTATATCCATCACCTTCTCTATGGTGTGTCTTTCCCCAACCTTGGTCACTTCCTCACATGTGTGCATTAAGCAGTATTCAGCTAACCATTCTAGGGAAACCCTGTGCATATCTCCGTATAGCTCTCTCCTCTCTTGTACTCTGCCTAAAAAAAATTCTAGCCACTTTGGCCCCTGACCTGAATTCTTGTCTCCTCAACTTAGGGAGACCACAGGGCTTTGTTGCGGGTTCCTATTCCTACACGGCACTGTGGCCTGGAAATTCTCTCCAGCTGGGGCAATTGTAGAGCTCACCTTCTTTATTTCCCTTTCACAGGAATCAGTGACCTGTGCTGCTTGCTGTCCTTTGTCTGAAGGCTGTTGTTTCATATATTTTGTGATTTTGTTTAAGGAGGAAGGATAAATTTGGCCTCTGTTATTCCTTGTGGCCTGTAGCAGCAGTTACCCATGTCTGATAACAAAAGACTGCCTTCCCATGTTTGATAGCAAAAAACTGACTTCTTAGATGGCCTTTGTCATGTAATTGTACTTTATATGCATAACAATTGCATGATAACTCATAAAATTATAGCAGTGGCAAATTTGTATAAATTATATTCTATAATACATAAGAATAAAATAGAAAGTACATCTTTTTTGTAAGGAACAATATTCTAAATTATTAAAATTTTGTTTTTATAGGCTATTTGCTGTTTTGTGGATTCTGTGTTTGTCAGGATTCTTGAGGGTAAGTTGATTGAAATATAGTTCTATCCATGTCAGTATAAATAACCTCAAAAAGCTGTAAGAGATACTCTTATGATAGGACACCTAGTTATAATTATCAAGAACATTTGAATATAGAATGATTATAGAATAATCTCTTTAAAAAATCAAGGTCTTGGGCCGGCCCGGTGGCGCACTGGATAGTGCGCCGCTTGGGAAGCGCAGCGGCGCTCCCGCCCGAGGGTTCGGATCCCACATACGGACCGGTTCCCGCTCACTGGCTGAGCGAGGCGCGGGAGCAACACCGAGGGTTGTGATCCCGTTGCCGGTCCCGGTCTGGTACGGGGGCAACACTGAGGGTTGCGATCCGTTGCCAGACACGGAAAAAGACAAAAAAAGACAAAAAAAAAAAAAAAAAAAAATCAAGGTCTTATGTCAATCATTAGTATTGACTGAAAGATGAATGAAAAAATGAGTTAAATTACATAGAAAGAGGCCCTCACTTATAACAGACAACCTCCAATAGCACTTTTTTTTTTTTTTGCCCTTTTTTTGAGACCGGCCGCACTGCGCTCAGCCAGTGAGCGCACCGGCCATCCCTATATAGGATCCGAACCTGCGGCGGGAGTGCTGCTGCGCTCCCAGCGCCGCACTCTCCCGAGTGCGCCACAGGCTTGGCCCTCCAATAGCACTTTTAATTTTGAAAAAAGAAATATATTTTTAAATCATTTATACTTGGAATGCTACTGTTCAAAGTCAAGCAGATAATTTAATTGAATGGAAGATATCTATTCGTTCATCCATTCATTCTTCAATCTGACAGAATAAGTTTAGACCTGCCTTGCCTTTTTCTGCTTTAACGTTTGTATTAAAAGTTGTACACCATTATTAAATACTAGGGTACTTCCAAAAGTTCATGGAAAAATAGAAGTAAAAAATAATACAAATCCTTCCATGATCTTTTGGAAGTAATCTCATATGTACGTAGCAGTAGATCATTAGAGGAGGTAACTTAAGTACTCTCAATTATCAACATATTTCTTTAATCTCTTGCCTATAGTTGTTTTTTTTTAGTGAGACGATTGAGTTGGTCTTGGCTGCTGTAGGAGCCCTTCTTTTCTGCGGATTCATCATCTATGACACACACTCCCTGATGCATAAACTATCACCTGAAGAGTATGTATTAGCTGCCATCAGCCTCTACTTGGACATCATCAATCTATTCCTGCATCTGTTACAGTTTTTGGAAGCCCTTAATAAAAAATAATTGAAAGCAGTATATAGAAACTGTTTCATTAATAATTGAAATATAATTATTTAATACTTCTATGATCTTTTTTTGTATTCTATGTACTTCTTTTTTTTCCTTTTTGTCTTTTTCTCGTGACCGGCAATGGGATCGCAACCCTCGGTGTCGCGCCCGCACCGCGCTCGACCATTGAGTGGACCGGTCTCTATATGGGATCTGAACCCTCGGCGGGAGCACCGCCGCACTCCCAAGCGCCACACTCCCAAGCGCCACACTCTACCGAGTGCGCCACCGGCCGGCCCATGTACTTCTGAGCTTACTATTATTTATAGTATCTCATCTCTAAATCCTTGATTTAGAATCTCAGGTAAGAGAATCAAAAATTCTATTTTTAATTTTTTTCAGTCCTAAATTGGCCATACATAGCTGCTCATTTGCAATTCAAAAATAATTTTATGAGTAGATTAGATTAAGAATATCAATTTACCTTTTAGTGATTTTATCTAAATTTCCCCCAAATTGTTAAATAACATTAGATTTGATTCTAAAATAGTAGTGTCCTTACCATTATAAAGTGTTAAATCTCCTTTTGCTAGATTTTAATCTCTTTTACTTTAGTCTTTCATTTGTTACAGATGCAATTAACTATTTAATCTCATTTAGAAAGGAAAAAACATAAATAATAAATTCCAGAGAATTATTCAGTATTATAATAAAATTATATTAAAATGTTAATGACATTTCATTATAAAACGATGTATTAAAAATTGAAGGTCCGCTTGAAAGTCAGATATTATGACATAAAATTTGACTTTTTTTTTTTAAGTACAGTTTCAACTTTAAAATTGTAGCATGCTAGTGTGATTAGAGGACCCGAAAGATTCTGGTTCATTGTCACTAAGTATATACATTTCAAAATAAAAATATTTTTATTTTGAAAATAGTGTCTTGTGGTTTCATTTGTGTTGGTCCATACAGGATGTTAGGTCAGTGTACCAGTGACCAATGAAACTTTGGCAAATTCTTCCACTGTATTAGTTTGCCAGGATTGCCATAACAAAGTATCACAGATTGGGTAGCTTAAACAACAGAAATTTATTTTCTCACAGTTCTGGAGGCTGGAAATCCAAGATGAAGGGTATAGGCAGGGTTGGTTTCTTCTGAAGCTTCTCTCCTTGGTTTGTAGATGGCAGTCTTCTCCCTGTGTGTTCACATGGTCTTCCCTCTGTACTTGTCTGTGTCCAAACTTCCTCTTCTCATAAGGACTCCAGTCATATTGCATTAGGGCCCACCCTAATAACCTCATTTTTTCTTAATTACCTCTTTGAAGACCTATCCTCAGATATAGTCACATTCTGAGGTACTGGGGTTTAGGACTTCATTATATGAATTTTGGGGGGATATAACTCAGCCCTAACCACTCACTAAGCATCATTTCCCAGCTATTAAGTTGAAGTGTTAGTAGTATTAATTTAGCCTCCTGTGATTTTTAGATTTTTTTCTCCATCACCAATTAAATAATGAATACCCAAGTGCATGATGCAATGTAATCAAGTATAACATAGCATAGTGGGTTAAGAGTATCTAGATTAGAATCCTTGCTATGCAACTAACTGCTTATATGATTGTAAGTTATGTATCTTTGGCAAGTTATGTATCTTTCCTTACTTAGATCTTTTGCCTCATCTTTAAAATGGGAATAATAATAACAGTAATAATAATGCCAACTTTACTGGGCTATTATAAGGATTAAATGAGATAGATGCATAAACTAATTGCCTAATTAATGTCAGCTGCTGTTATTAACACGGCAGGATGGACTGAATTGTGACCAAAGACAATAAGCAAAAGCAGATTTGACATTTAAAAAATGTAAACAATGCCACTTTTCATTGAATTATTTTTGATTTACAAAATAGTTTCTCATAAAAATGTTAACATGTAATGAATTTATCCTTTTTAAATGACTCATACATTTTCAAGAAATTGTTTTAATTTCTGATACGATAAATATAATTATTAAGAGTGTAAAGGTATCCCAAGACCAGGAAGTTCAAAAACCTTTGGTGTAGAATATTATATTTTATAAATGAACCATAGTTATTCATACATTCTTCTGTCAACGCATTTGATATGGTTCTTCCTTTTTTACTATCACTATGTGTCCCACTGTACACAGGTATGAGTTTGTCTAGCTAGGACAGAATTGCTAGGTAAAAGGTCATGTGCAACTTCAATTTTTTACATCAAGTAAAGGTAAAAATATGCAAACTACAAAAATATTAAAGTGGAATTAGCAGGACTTGGACAGAGCAACAGGCAATTCAATACGCAAGGGACAAAGGAAGAACAGCCGGAGAGGTAGGAGGAAAACAGGAAAGAGCAGTATCTGAGAACTTTTGTATTTATGGAATGTAATTTCGGAGAAAAGGTGCAGTGAGCCCTGTGTATCTGCCTTCATTTCTTCTCTGCGGGCTTGAGAGCTGGCTTCAATCCACTTGATGCAATTCTGGAGATTAGAGTGTCAGCAACCAGCTGCAGGCCTTTTTGGAGCAGCTGGGAATTAGATTGTTTTTGCTTTTTCCTCTCATCTTTGTAGAGCTTTGTCTTGAAGCCCCCCATCACCTAGGGAATGGGTAACATTTGGTAACCATCTGAATTCCAGAAATCTTCCTGTTCCTTACTAAGTGATTATGCAAATCAGGGATTACTTAGAGGTTTGACTGTAGGAGCTCCCCCCATAGTGTAGCTTGCCTTTTGGTTGGGGAATGAGGAATCAGTGCGCTTCCCATCAGGTATTCAGCACTACCCGCTGTACCTTTAGTTTCATAAGTTCCTTCCAGCTCTGTGAGGAACCACAGCAATGTCCAGTTTGACCCTTAAGCCTTGTTCCTCCATCAGGTATTAAAGTTTCCCAAACACAGGAGTGTGGTTTCCTTTATCATTGAATATTCAGCATAGTGCCTATCACAGAGAGCATACTTGAATGGGAGAATGAGGGAATGAATAAAGGATTTTAAAATATACTAAAGTCAATGAACTATTTCATTAGAACTGCTTTTACACAAACTGGTGAGGAACATAAGTGAAAAAATTTGTGTCTGGTAGGTAAGTGATCAGACAGGTAAACATTCGTTGAATTGAAATAGTTTGATCATTTTACCCTTTCAACTCTTTGGGATGGAAAAGACCTGTTTTCTATATTTAGTAACAGCTTTGGGATAACAATTGACATATAAGTTGCACATATTTAAAGTGTACAATTTGATAAGTGTTGACATATGTGTACATCCGTGAGACCATCACTCGGGATGGGAAAATTTACAGGCTGCAAATAAAGATTTCAATACGGCCTCTGGAGGAACACGTGCTCTAGGATGATTCCATTTAAGGAAATCCATGAGTACCTTGTGAATGGTGAGGCCGGATCTAAAGGTCTCCGAGCTCCCTACCTGAAAGGAAAAGTCACCCGGCCGTGCTCACTCACTGCTTGGGTTAGACTCGGAGCTAACTCGCCCTCACCTGGGAAGGGAGTCTACCCAGCGCCCGACCCTCGGCCGGGACTCGTGCATTCTGCAGGACAAGCCGAGCTTCCTGGTCCTCACCCACACCACACGCAGGAAACACGTCACGCCGGGCTCCCAAAGAACCCGCCTCTCGGGGCTTTCCGAGACATTTGGGCTCCGGGCGTGCAACTCGCCCTCCCGGGGTGGGTCTGCCCGGAAGGCGGAAGTGCGGTGACTTCCGGCCGGCGTGATCTTGCGGCGCAAGCATATTTGTGTTTCTCAGGTGAGCGCGGACCCTCCCGGGTCGAGTGGGGCGTAGGACCTCGATTTTGCGGCTCCTAGAGAATTTCGTCTCGATGCTCCACCCTCTCTGGGCCATGCTTGAGCGCGGGTCCGGAGATGCAGGGCTAGGGTCCCGCGTGGTGTTGGTGGCGGTCCCCCGGTTTCCTCCTGCTTTTTGTGAAGTGGAGCCCTTCCTTGTTAAGTCCTGCTAAAATTAACTTTGGTCCTCAAGGTTGCTTACCGCAACCCTTTTATCCTAGCCCCTCGAAGGGCTTGGGTTATAGACAAGGGAGCAGAGTGAGTTTATGGTTGCTGGCCTTCAAAAAATATTACCCAACTAGTTAACCACTCGACAGATGTTTATATAACCTTTACTATATGCAAAGCGCTTTGTGCACTGGGGGATCCAACGGTGAACAAGACCTACTTAGCATCTGCCTTCGTGAAGTACAGTCATTAAAGAATTATAAGGAAGGCAGTGATATAGTCTTAAATTTTTAAAAGTTCACACGAAGTAACTAAAAGTTCACACTGGAGAATTTAGGGCTGGGACTGAGGGGTAGAGAGAAAGCAAGAGTGGAAATAGATAAGCTTAAAGTAGTTCGGTTGGCTTGAGGGGGTGGATAATGAAGAAGATTGGGAAGGGGTGTTTATAAAATCATTTTGTAATTTGTAAGCTGTTGCGTAAATGTAAAATAATGATACTCTTTCCATTTCTGGGGAAATTAAATTTCTGCATCTTGGTAAGGAAACTCAAAGAGATTTCAGAATTGGCTTGATTTACAGTTTGCCAGTGACCAAAAATAGTTTGATTTGGTGTTCTTGTTACTTAATGGCAGTGTGTGCTACATCTGTCCTCACGTAAGTTGCACATTAAGCCATCATAAATCATGAATAAAAAGTTTTACCGTCCATTTGTTCCTGTTGGCCTGGTTTTCTAAACATTTACCTTTTTTTTAGCAGTAAATATTTGCTTCTGAATGCGTATTTTTGTTAACTTGCAGGTAAAACATGGCTAAGAGCTTACGGAGTAAGTGGAAAAGGAAGATGCGTGCTGAAAAGAGAAAAAAGAATGCCCCCAAAGAGCTCAGCAGGCTTAAAAGTATTCTCAAGATAGACAGTGATGTTTTAATGAAAGACGTTCAAGAGATAGCAACTGTGGTGGAACCCAAACATTGCCAAGAGAAAATGCAATGTGTGGTGAAAGATGAAGAAGGTGAATTTTTGTGCTTTTGTTTTTAAAAATAATTTAAAAACATTTAAAAGTTTTAAAAAATTTAAAACAATTTTTTATGATTCTTTTTCCTCTTTTGACTGTCCTGTACCCACCCCCACACTTGCTCCCTACAAACTTGCTACCCACATTTTTATTCTTTGGAAGGCTTACAGTGTAACCAGAGAGTCTATGCTAACCTATTTTATAGCTAGTTCATGTGTATAGGCATGTTTTGGATCATTCAGGGTGGGTCTTTTGTGCTACAGGAATAGACTATCCTAGACACACCCTGGCTCGAAGGGTACATAATTCAATCAGGGTCTAGACAGGATAGAAGATGGTCTTCATTTTACTCCTTAGAAGATCTAGTTCCCATTCTATGAGTTCTGTGCCCTTATACTATTATCCTGAAAATCACCAGGTTTACTATATTTCATTTTGATAGATTCTAGGGACCTCTATTTCTTAATCACAGTCTAAATTTTGAGGCTGTATATAATGCTAGTTTCAGCAGAGAAAAAGGCTCCTTGGTTTTCACATCCTAATGCACCAATTTGGTAGCATACTAAATTAAGCACTCTCAACATCCAGACTCTTAAAATAGATGTGTATTTAATTGGTGTCTTATGGTCAAGGGAGAGAACAGTATTCTTCAACATTCAACTTTCCTTGAAGTTTCCTTTCCCATTCTTCAACATGACCATTTTTTATTCTTTTCTCATTCCATCCCTCTCCCATCCATACAAATAAAAATTGCAAAAAGCTTTTTACTTTAATTTCTTTGAAAAATGGGGGCAATCAACCAGAAATACCCTCATCTTTTCACTATGCATGTCTATAAGAATTTGAATGTATGGTCTGTTTCCCCCTCTTTTATTAATGGTCTCTCAAATGCGTTTCTCCACTCGTGTTCAGAATTCTCTCCCCCTTTGCATTCTCAAGGGCTGTACTCAGGCATCTGCCATATCAGTCTCATCCACTGGGTCATTTCCAACAGCCTAAGTGTGTTCTGGGATGTCCCATCTCAAACAAGAAAGAAAGAAAAATTCCTCCTTTGATTTTGCATTTCTCTCAATATGCTGCTTTATTTCAACTCTCCTTGAAACTGTTGAAACCCTTGCCTTCAGTTGCTGTCTCCATTTCCTCACATACGTGCCACTCCTGCCCATTCACACTTTTGTTGTTGAGGCAGAATTCACGTAATATAAAATTAGTCATTTTAAAGTGTACAATACAGTGGCATTTAGTACATTCACGATGTACAACCATTACCTCTAGTTTGAAAACATTTTTTCACTCTAAAAGGAAACCCTGTACCCCTTAAGCAGTCTCTCCCAACCCTCAGCCTCTGGCAGGCACTAGTGTGCTTTTTGTCTGTATGGATTTACCTATTCTGGATATTTCATATAAATGGAATCATACAACATGTGATCTTTTGTGCCTGGCTTCTTTCACTTACCATAATGCTTTTGAGGTTCACCCACGTTGTAGCATATATCAGTACTTCCTTCCTTTTCAGAGCTGAATTGTACATACCCACATTTTGTTTATCTGTTCATCAGTTGGTGGACTTTTGGGTTGCCTCCACTTTCTGGCTATTGTGAGTAGTGCTGCTGTGAACATTTGTGGACAAGATTTTGTCTGAATACCCATTTTCACTTCTTTTTTGGTATATACTTAATGAGTGGAATTGCTGAGTCATATGGTAATTCTTTGCTTACTGTTTTCCATATCAGCCACATCACTTTACATTCCCACCACCAGTGTATGAGGGTTCCAGTTTCTTCGGGTCCTCTCCATCCATCCTAGTGGATGTGAAGTAGTATCTCATTGTGATTTTGATTTGCATTTTCCTGAGGTCTAATGATGTTGAACATCTTGTAATATGCTTATTAACCATTTGTATGTATTCTTTGGAGGAAGGTCTATTCAAGTTTTTAGCCCATTTTTAAAATTAGGTTGTTTGTCTTTTTGTTGTTGGGATGGAAGAGTTCTTTATATTCTGGACACCATATGCCCTCGTACTATGATTTCTTTAACTTTATTTTCTAGTTCTTGTATGGAGTTATTTAGTTTTATTGTTATATTTTTAACTTCCAAAAGTTTTTTTTCTTATGCTGTTCCTTTTTTCTAGCTTCCTGCTCTTAATGGGTAAATATCTTCTCTGATTTCGCTGAGGGTATTAAATACGGTTTGTTTTTGAAATTTGGATCTACTCTGTGCATTGTCTGTTTTCATCTTAGATTTTCTTCCCTCTCCCTCCTTCTATTCCTTTGCATTCCTCTATTTTTGTCTCTTTCATATTAGGGGCTTTCTCAAATGTCTAAAAGTCAGTTGTTTGTATTTCAAAATGAGGCACTAAAATGATGATTTGAAGCTGGAGAGGGGCAAGGTGTACGGGAGGGTCTATCAACTTCTAGATTTGTAGAATAATAAATAATTGGATTGGCTCCAGGAGCTTTTGTTAGGAGATTCCCTACATCAAAATCTGTAAGTCATTTTTTTTTTCTCATCATCTCCAGAGAGGAATCTCTCATCTCCTGCTTGGGGAGTGTCTGGATGCCGTCATTCTTGGAGTATTTCAGGAGGCAGATGGCGATGGGAATGAGGGTGGGAGAGTCTCCCCTTCCCAGTTAGTAATCTACCTGTTTTCGGTATGGCTCCTCATCTCTGCCCTTAAGCTCATGTTCCTCCTTATTTTTACTCTTTCAACTGCACACCCAATTTCTTAACCCACAAACCTAGTAGTCATTCTTGATCACTTTTTTATATCCCCCACATCTAAACATTAGCAAGTCTTATTGATCATCCCTAAAATACATCAGGAATCTGTCCGTTTTTCTCTGCTTTCATGTTTTCACCTTAATCCGTCATCTCTTGTCTGTACGAGATAGTAACCTTTTTATTTCTGTCTTCAGCTCGTGCCCTTTTTGATTCATCTTCTATGTAACAACCAGTGTGCTCTTTTTAGAATATAAATCAGATTATATCGCTTCCATGCTTAAATCCTTGCATCGTCTTTCCATGTGCTTACCAGAGCCTACCAGGTCTTACTTAATCTGGTTCCAATACCTTTCTAAAAAACCACTTACCACAGGCTGAAATTTTCTTTCTGTCTGTTGGCTTTGTTTTTCTCCCATCAACAGAACATTGTAAACTCCGCGAGGGCAAGGAGATATGGACCACTGTATCCCCTGACCCTAGAAGAGCACTTAAAGTAATCATTCAGTAAATAGTTATTAAGTAGCTATTATATACCAGGCACTATTCTGGGCACTGTGGATACAATGAAGAATATCTAATATGTCAGGTAGTAAAGATAATAGAAGACCTTGTGTACCATAGTAAGGTCCCAGGGAGAGAAATTCTGGGCATGTTCTTCACAATAGATAAAGTTGTGTTTATCACATCATGGTTGCACTGAGCTTCTTGCCAAGTCTCCTGTCAGTACAGCTGGATCTCTGGATGTTGTCTGGATAGAAGAAGTGTGGCAGCCCCAGGCTGTGTCCAGGTCTGTCTTCACAACCTTGCTCCTGACTACTCCATCAAGTTCATTAGAAGTTCATTCTGAATTCTTTAAAATTTACTTCAAGTTCATTAGAAATGGCCAGTCATACCTAATCAGTTTGTTTATATCAGTTCATAGATCGTGTCTTTAGTTACTCAAAAACAGTTTATGTCTTTCATGGTGTAGGAACACGTGGCAGCATGTGTCTGATTCCACAGAAATTTGCTGTAAGAAGTTTTCAGAGTCTTAGTCAAAGAGCATTTCATAAATAAGGGATATTTTTCTTCTGAATTTCAGATGACCTTCAGTTCTCATGTTCTCAGTGCATTAATATACTTTCACAAGATTATCATTAGTGGATGTTCTTCCATTTTTTTAATCAGATGACATGAAAATGGAGACTGATATTAAGAGAAACAAAAAGAGTCTTCTAGACCAGCATGGACAGTACCCAATATGGATGAACCAGAGGCAAAGAAAAAGGCTGAAGGCAAAGCGAGAGAAACGAAAAGGGAAAAGCAAAGCAAGAGCAGCAAAGGCAGCGAAGGGTTTGGCCTGGTAGACTTCTAAAAACTTGGAAAATGCCGTTGATTAGAATGTATACACTGATTTCAGCTCCCACCAAATGAAAACTATTTGTTTTTCATATTTTAACTTGGCTTTTTTTCTTCAATTCAAACCCAACATTACTTCTCATTTTGTTTTGGGAACATGAATAAAATATTTTCTTTGATGAATGAAAGCTATACTGATATTCTAATTGGATGCTGTCCAGTATCCAGGTATTATCAGACATCAGAATTCTGTCAAGTATTAATATGGTTATAATTGTTTGTTCTTACAACTTGGTAACTATAGTCGGTAAAGATAAATATAGTGACAAATTTGAGTGAACACAGATTTAAAGCTATTATGTAATCATATTTAAAAATATAACATCATTGGATCTTATAAACAATACTTGTTTGAAGTTTTGATTTTGTATAATTCAGAATAAAAGATATTTTGTGTGTCGATCTTGAATTTTGATGTTTTCTTTCGTATATTAAGGTTTTTCAGTACTAGAGGACTGATTCTTCAGTTACATTTTTTTAAAGTCTTAATTTTAGGTAGAATATTAAGTTATACAAATCAGTATGCTTTTTAGGAGATTAAAACATCTCAGGTTTCTTGTGGAAACTAATGTTCTTCAGTTTTAACATTGTGTACCCTAATATAATACAATGCAGCATTTCTCAGGTGTGTTCTTCAGAATCCGTTTCTCCAGATAGATGCTTGATTTGAAAAAAAAAAAAAGAAATTGTGATCACATCAATTTGGGAAATGCCACATACTTGAAGATTTACAAAAAGTATTAGCTTAGTATTAGTATAGTCTTAAAGAGATCTAGCAGTAAAGAAACCTGTTTAACTTTCACTCTGAAACTAGTTTTCTGAGAATTGAAATCTACTATTGGAAATGCTGGTATAATGAAATGATTTTGAATTAAATCTGTTTTGCTACAGTTTGCTAATTTCACTCTCACTTAAATTTAGTTAAGCAATCTAAACTTAGCATTTCCTCTGAAATTTCACTGTAATCATACTATCTTATATGTTCACTGGAACAATCAAATATTTATTGAGTACCTACTGTGTGCCAGGGACTTTTCTGCGTGCTAAGGTCGCAGGGAACAAGACAAAGCGTCCACCCTCGTAGGGTGAAGAGCTGTGCATCTGCTCAGAAGAGGATGTTAACTTCACAGGAAAACCAAGTAAAAGGTGAAATATATTAGAATAAAGTCGGTCATCAAGTCAAAAACTTTGTGCTAGACACACTGCCAGGCTTGGATGCCGTATAAACAGGTCATTACCCAAATCTTTCGGGAGATATGAATCTATAAAATTTAATGCTAGTAAAATCTAGAAATTATTTTAATATAATAGGCTTTTCTCAATTTACTCAATAGTTCATTGAAAAGTTAGTGGATAACTAAAATATTTAAAATTAATTTTCTTAAACTAAAAAAAATGTGAATTAAAAGACGGATTTATGGCCTTTGTTGCCTTTTGATATTGTTATGAATAATCCATTTGTGAGGAAATAGTGGATACTAAATGTTTATTCATGAAATAAAAAGTTGCAAACATGTAATTAAGCCACTGCAGTATCAGCCTAAATATATGTATTAGCTGGATTATTTACTTTTTTTTTTCATCACAGGAATTGTCTACATTAGTGGTATTACACACTTGGTGCTTATTGAATTTGGGCAGCATTGTCAGGTATTTTCTAACTGTATTTTTTTTAATTTGAAGTGAGAGACCAATGCCAGGGATATGTTCACGTTTTCTGTGGCTGGAACCTCTAATTTGACTCCAGTGAGCTTCCATCCAGGGCCTCTTGATATTAGGATGTTCACTTAAGTTTGTCCAATCATAAAGTTTGTCCATTCAGGATTTAACTTCAAGGTTAACAAAATGAAAAGTCAAAACACCACCACCAAAAAACTTAATTGGGAATCATGTTCTCAAGTATCAGATGGCCTATGGAAAGTTTGCTACTGAAGAGAAATTGCTTTGTACTGTGTTGAGTAGCCTGTAAGGCACTGAATTCCTGAACTGCACTGCCAGTAAGATTCTTCCCACCTCCAAATTTTGCCAGGAAATTTAAACTGGCATTTCAAAATTAGTACAGGGGTGTGATCAGTTCTTTGTCACTTTATTCTTTTTTTTTTTTTCCTTTTTGTCTTTTTTTGTGACCGGCAACGGATCGCAACCCTCAGTGTCGCGCCCGTACCGGACCGGGACTGGCAACGGGATCGCAACCCTTGGTGTTGCCCCCGCACCTCGCTCAGCCAGTGAGCGGCTGGTCTGTATGTGGGATCTGAACCCTCGGCGGGAGCGCCGGTGCGCTCCCAAGCGGCGCAATGTAGCAGTGCGCCACCGGGCCGGCCCTGTCACTTTATTCTTAAAGATTATAAATTGAGAAGTATACCACAGTCCGTTAATCTTTTAAATAATCAGCTTTTTTTTTTTTTTTAGTCATTCTTTTTTTGACTGATGTTTTCCAGAGAATTGCTATAAAACCACCAGATGGAGCTAAAGCCAAGCACGAAATCATTTTTGGAACTAGATTGAGTGAGCTAAGTCACATTAGGAATTGAATATAACATTTTGTTTGTTTTTAAAGAAATTAAATTTAAAATTAAAATAAGGATGTGGGTAAATACTTATATAAAAGGGTAAAAATAAGAGTACTTCAAAAAGTTCATGGAAAGATTTGTATTATCTTTTAATTCTATTTGTGCACAAACTTTTTGAAGTACCTGCATAAGGATGATCAAAATTGCTTAAAGTATTAGATAATTTAAGTCAGCCAGCAATCCTCTGAGTTTGGTACTCATATTATCTCTACACATGGGGAAATGGAGGCATATAGGCTATGTTACTAAAATCAGGAGAGCTAGGATTCAAATTCTGGCATTCCAGCTTCAGAGCATATACTCTTAATGATGTCATTCTGCCTCTCAAGAATGTGCATACTCTTGCTAAGACAAAGGCAATTTTAGAGCAGAATACTTATATTTTGGTTTAACTCATAATGGATTGGGTTGATGCGGGATCAGATAAGGAGCAGGTTTTATTTATTTATTTATTTATTTATTTTTCCTTTTTGTCTTTTTTACTGACTGGTAACGGGATCGCAACCCTTGGTGTCACGCCCGCACCGGGGACCGGCAACAGGATCGCAACCCTCGGTGTTGCGCTCGCACCGCGCTCAGCCGGTGAGCGGGAACCGGTCTCCACATGGGATCCGAACCCTCGGCGGGAGCGCCGCCGCGCTCCTAAGCGGCACACTCCAGTGCGCCACCGGGCCGGCCCTTTTTTAAAAATTTATTTATTTATTTATTTATTTATTTATTTATTTTTTTTAGGAGCAGGTTTTAGTAGAGAGATGATTTATAGAACCCTCCTCAAATCTCTGGGCCTAAACCAGACTGGATTTCCCTAGGTAACACTTGTTCAGAATGGGCTGACCAATCCAAAAGGGGAAGGTGTAGGCCATGATCAGAAGTGGATGAGCTACTAATCAGAGAAGAAATGTGAACTGCAGTTGAAGCTCTTAGAATCTAGTGGTTTTGATCACATCTTTTCTACTGTCACATGTAGATGTATTTCTTTTCCCACTAGTTCACGTGCTTTTTAAACAAAAAAGCACCAGTGTATATTTGCTCGTTAGGAAGTTTGGATGTTTTCAAAATTTCTATTTCTGTATCTGGGATATGTTTTTTAGGAGTTGGAGAAGAAAAAGTAAGTGGCTGTAAATGATGTGGTTCAAATATCTATAATGGACTGGTGATGACAGTGAGGAGCAGTGATGTGTAGTTTAGGCTAGTGAAATGCTAGCCACAGATAAAATTAGGGAGAATCTAAAGAGATCTCAAGGCTATTCCTCAAGGAACTGCCAAGTTAATAAATACTACAATTGAAGTGCAGATGTTGCACTGTTGGCTAATCTTACTAGCTAAGTGACTAACTTCTGTCACCACCTGGCAGAGTGATTCAAATTTATGCCAGGCACAGAATTTAATTCTTTTTCCCTGTATTTGCCAGCGTATAAAAACACCATTGCAGCAGACACATACCAATTTTACAAGGAAATGTTTGGGGGTGAGTGGAGACTGTTAAGTACTTACACTAAGTTAAAGGCTGTACTGCTGTCCTCAGGGTCCTGTTAGGCAGCCAGGAGGGCCAGGGCCAGGTTTGGGCCTGCTTACAAAATTTTACATAGTGGAATGTCAAGGGTCTTTTGCACCTATTTTTTAGAGCATGGGAAAATATAATGTCACATCCAATAAGACTCATTTGGTAGGAAGGACAATAGTAAGAATCACACAACAGCCAACATTTAGAGAATGCTTACTCTGCTAAGTGCTTTACATATTTAATGCTTAAAACAACACTGTGGGTTCAATACTCTTATTCCTATTTTCAGATGAGGAAACAGTTTGAAGAGGTAAATGAATTTGCCCAAAGTCATGCAACTGTTAAGTAGTGAGAAGGCTGTCACAGAGTACAGAATGAATAGCTATGATGGGAGGCTGCAGACAGACAGACTTTGATTCGATCTAAGGAGAAACATTCTAACTGAGATGTTGGGAGATGAAACTGGCAGCCTTGGGAGTACCACCCTGCCAGAGACTTGTGCCTCTGTGGAGAAACATTCCACTAAACTAATTTTCTCTTGACAATAATGGGGAAAAAAATAGCCTGGGAAAAGCACAGATGTTGAAGCTAAGGCTGGACAGGCACTTGGTTGGGACGTAGCACAATGGACCGAAACATTTTACAGTTGTCCCTCAGTGTCTTTGGGGGATTGGTTCTGGGACCTCCCTCAGATACCCAAATCCATGCATGCTCAAGTCTCATAAAATGGTGTAGTGTCAAAAAAAATGGCACATAACCTACACATACCCTCCTGTATCCTTTAAATCATCTCTGGATTACTTATAATAACTAATACACTGTAAATGCTATGTAAATACTTGTTAAACAGTATTGTTTAGGGAATAATGACAAGGAAAAGTCTGTACATATTCAGTACAGATGCAACCATCCTTTTTTTTTTTCTTTTTTTCCCCCCCGAATATTTTCTATCCCCAGTTGGTTGAATTCGTGAATGCAGAACCCATGGATATGGAGGGCTGACTGTATTTGGAATTTGGGTTGAGAACTGTTAAAATCCTTTCCAGCTAAGAAATGCCTTGTAAGACGTTGTTATGTTTGAAATGTATCATGCTTATTTTGCTCTATATAGTTTTTTGGCACTATATGATTTAGATTTAAGTATCTTTTTGGTGGAAATAACGAAATCTGAAATCTTAATTTTGTTAATGTCGTTAAGTCTGGTATTCATTCCACTAAGATCCACTTTAAAGTATGGAAAAACGTTATAAACATCTGCTTTAAACAATGAATGGGGTAAAGTCCTTCAAATTTTAATTTAAAGAATGGCATTGCTTTATAATACATTAAGTTCAT